CAACCACACTGTCATTTGCAGCAACAGACAAGAACCATGAAAAGCTGCAGCAGTTCCTCCTTGATTTTTATGGTGCCAGCACATTCAACATGTGTAAACAACAAACGCTACCCATGATGGACTGCCCACCTCTGAAGCTGATGGTGAACCCAGACGCCGAACCAGTAGCGCATCACACACCTGTGCCGGTTCCAATACATTGGCGGGATGATGTCAAAAAGGGACTTGATCACGATGTGAAATTGGGTGTCATCGAGCTTGTGCCCTTTGGCGAACCCATCACCTGGTGTCACAGGATGGTGATCTGCGCAAAGAAAAACGGCCAACCCAGACACACCGTCGATCTCCAAGCTCTGAATACCCACACAACTCGTGAAACGCACCACACACCATCGCCATTCCTCCAGGCATGGTCAGTACCCCCTGGTAAAAAAAAAACTGTCTTTGATGCTTGGAATGGTTATCATAGTGTACCTCTATGTGAGGAGGATCGCCATCTCACTACATTTATTACCCCTTGGGGTCGGTATCGCTACAGGACAGCACCACTGATGGATACACGCAGCGAAAATGATGAGATTGTTGCAGACATACCAAACAAGACAAAGTGTATTGATGATGCCCTACTGTGGCCAACAATCTGGAAGATAGTTTCTTTCAGACCGTAAATTGGCTGGATGTCTGTGGGAGAAATGGCATTATGCTGAATAATGATGTCCATCCATGTAGGAAGTACTTACAGGCAATTTTAGACTTCCCGACACCGAAAAACATCACGGATGTGCGTTCATGGTTTGGCCTAGTTAATCAAGTCTCCTACGCATTTTAGCATGGCGGACCAGATGCTACCCTTCCAGGAGCTACTCAAACCTGGCATCCAATTCAAGTGGAACGAGGATCTAGAGGCTCTCTTTCAGGAGTCCAAAGCGGCAATCACTGCTGAAATTGAACATGGTTTCCGCATCTTTGATCCAAATAAACCAACCTACCTGGCGACTGAGTGGTCAAAGTCCGACATTGGATTCTGGCTTTTACAGAAACAATGTTGCTGCACTAAAAACAAGCCTTTCTGTTGTCGCTTAGGTTGGAAAGTCACACTAGTTGGTAGCCGGTTCACGCACGCAGCAGAATCACGGTACGCGCCAATAAAAGGTGAAGCCCTTGCCATCGCTGATGCATTAGACAAGGCTATATACTTCGTCCTAGGTTGCTCAGACCTCATAATTGCGGTCGACCATAAACCACAAAATCTCAAAGAGAAGACATTACGCTACAAGTACATATCCCCGGAGTGAAACATCGTGCCACTGACTGCCTATCATGTTATCCGACAGGTGAACCTGTGAAACTCATTTTGATGGATGACCTGGCATCAATTGCCTCGAACCATGACGCTTTCCGACACCCGACCCAATCACTGCCTGACCTTAGGGTGTATGACACTACTGACAGTGATATCGAGGAGTGTGTGATTGCAGCCGCTACCACATCACTAAATGCATTAAACCTCAAGTCAGTCACATGGGACAGAGTGCGCACTGCCAGTAACGAAGATATGCTAGTATTGACTGAGCTCATAGAATCTGGCATGCCAGAATTCCGCCATGAAATGCCAAACTCCATTTGCGAGTATTTTCAGTTCCATGATGATCTGTCTACTATAGACGGCGTCATAGCTTATAAGGACCGCATCATTATCCCACTATCCCTGCGAGACAAGGTGCTCTGCACCTTGCATTCAGCTCATCAAGGAGTAACCTCTATGATCACTAGGGCCGAATTATCTGTATTCTGGCCAGGTATAATGCCTGCTATTGCAGCGCTCCATGCTAGCTGCCTGCAATGCAATCGCAACGCACCATCTAATCCTAGCACTCCACCAGTCCCTCCAACAAGCCCGGAATACCCTTTCCAGTGTCTCTGTGCTGATTTTTTCACATACAAAGGAAACCACTACTTAGTTATTGTAGATCATTATTCCAACTGGCCAATAGTTGAAAAGTCCTCAGATGGGGCTCTCGGACTCATCTCCTGCCTCAGATGTACTTTTGTAACTTATGGCATACCCATTGAGCTGGCCTCTGATGGAGAGCCCGAGTTTACTGCTACCATTACTCAACAGATTGGGGTGTTCACCATAGGTTATCTTCAGTATCATTCCCTCACAGAAACTGCAGAGCACAGCTGGGCGTTAAGACAGTAAAGCGCCTTATTATGGACAATACAGGTCCCTTGGGAACCATTGACACTGACTCATTCCAACGTGCAATGATGCAGTATAGGAACACACCGGACAGACACACAAAGTTATCTCCAGTGATGTGCATCTTTGGCCATCCTATTCGAGACTTCATACCCATAATCCCGGGAAATTATAGACCTCATGAAACGTGACGCAGCACATGGAAAGCACATGAAGAGGCCCTGCGGAACTGCCACATAAGGTGTGTTGAGAGATTATCAGAGCATACCAAATGGCTGCCACCACTAGTCGTCGGTGATCATGTGCAGATTCAAAACCAAATTGGACTGTATGCACGCAAATGGGATAAAACTGGGGTAATCATCAAAGTTTGACAGTATGTGATAAGCGTTGACGGATCGAGAAGAGTGACACTCCGGAATAGAAAATTCTTATGGAAATATGTCCCAGCGCAACTCCCTCTCTCAAAGCTGACAATCAATAATGACATTCATATACGTAATGCAGCTCCTACTTTGATGCCGACAATTGTCTCGAATGACGTCACAACAACATCATCCCAACTCACAGAACCCAAGAACCCCATCGCTTCTGATCCTTCTGCCTAACTGGTGATCTCACCAAAAGTATCACAAACGCTGCAGAATGTACCAACAGTGCTAGAAACCGCTCCACCTGACAGAGAAAAGCCGACATTTGACGGAGACTTGAGTTTTGATACCACTGTATCGCTGTCCCGAGCATCAGTCCAATCCCTCTAGTCTAGAGACAACCTCATCCTCCCCACATATGTTAAACACGTCAAGAAGATCAGGCCGCGCTAAACATGTGCGGAAGTGGTTCAAAGACTATATTATAACAGTTCAGACTTCACCTGACTTCTGATTTGGTGTCCCTGCATATATACCATATTCTCTGTTCACGTTGTATTCTCTGACAATTGTACTCTACCATAACCTCCGATATAAACGTCTATGGTATTCCGCCTCTCCCCTTATTTAGTCTCCTTAACCTCACATCTAATGTTTGTGAACCTTTCGCAGTATCAGTCTTTGAGAATGTACTACTTGACACTTACGTTGACATACACACAAAGACTGGGGGGGAGATTTAGGATTACCATGTTTCATGAAATTTTTACTATTGTGTTTCTACCTCTTTCAGGTCTTGTTCATTGTCAGTAGACAATAAACGTTTACAGAACAAATAGATTCCATTCTTATTTACTGTTTTCTGATTCCAATTTCTGCACCAATAACTTACACTACTAACACATGCTACACAGAAATTAATAATAATGGCTTTTTAACATTTCCTGTTTCAAAATTTAAAAAAAGAAAAATATCAAATATTTAATAAAACATTTTTGAACTATTCCATTGAATCTTCAACTTCCATGTGCTAATGAAAGAGTGAGATGTCAAAATTATATATAATCATAAATTGTGTTTATGAAAATGTGTATTTATATATTCATACTAATAATAAAGTACATTCCAAGAAAGGACATCTTATGAAAACAAAATTATTACACATTTGTAATTCATCATGACTAATTTTTATTGGTGAAAAATTAATTTTTGTTTTATTTTAATATGTGCTCTTACAGTGATAATAGATGTATTTTTGTAATGAAAAACTGCACCTAATGTAGTTAGCACAGACTGTATACACACATACACACACATAAGTTTTTTAGAACTAAAATATTTTGTAAATCGTGTATTGACTATTATTCGTAAGCTTTGGTATTTTGGAAAAGTATTCCATGTTAATTTTATGAATATTAAATTATTGTACAATTATTATTTATGGAAAGTATTAAAATTTTTTACTTCTATCTAACCCCAAAATTTAAGTAAATCAAAGTATTTGAACCAAATCAAACTTTTCTCTCCTTTTAAGTAAGCTACAAGTATTATCAAGCTGTTGAGAGGAGTTACGGTCAAAGTAAATATTTGTAAATAGCAATAATAGATTTGTTCTTTGCTTTTCTTTCTCTTCCTTGTTCTTTATTGTAATTATTATTTTTTATCCTGAAAATTGTTAGTGATTGTGAAGATAAGTTACAATTTTTTTACTCTCAGGAAAATTTTGTATGGTATTGATTTCTGACTGGCTTTATTGAAATTATCTGAGACTATAATAAGAAATGGAGTAACCTAATGCAAAGATAGTAATTTGGTTTATTTGGAGATAATTAGAATAAAGAAGAAAAATACAAAAGTCTATTCTTGCTCTATAATTAATACCGATAACTTGAATATCTTACAATTTTAACTTGACATAAATTTTGCATAACTCATAATTTTGCTTGACAATGTTCATTTTAGTTTTTTTTTTTTTTTACTTTATCTAAACAGGAAAAAATTTTATCTGATTTTTATTTTTTAATATTTACTCAATCAATATGTACTGAATGACATTATAAACCAATATGTAAAAATATATTAGTTTGTTACAGCCTGTGTTAATAATATGTAAGTTTAAAATGTATACTTAGAAAATGTTGAGTTACAAAAATTTATTGTAATTTTGACTGTAATTTCAATGTCATGCATGAGAAATATTGAATGTTATTTTTTTTTCTTGTCATATTTTAAACTTCTGAAGGCAAAAAATAATTAAAAACATTTTAGTAAGTCAGTATTGAGAGGAACAAATTGACATTAAGCTGAATTAAACATAAAATCAAATTTATATCACATCTATTTATTGCAGAATAATTTTAAAAATGCGTTTTTAAATAATATACTTCATGCATACTTTTCTTCTTTTTTTTCCTCACCTCCTGTAGGAAGAATTCGGCCACTTGGTGAGTGTGTGCTACTTCAACAACAGACAGAAGTAATCGTCGCACGATATACTTCACTTGTACATACAGAAAGCAAAATGACGGAACATGCTCCTGCCACTCCAACTCCTTCCCTCTTCAAAAAATCTAAAAAATTAGTGGTTAATGAGATGGCACCATTAGATGTTAGTCAATCTCTGTCACTATATTCAGGACTCTTTCAGTATTTGCAAAGTTTCTTTATGTGGTCTAATACACAACCAGAAAGTCAGCATGCTGAACTTGTCTGCAGAAAGGGTGACTTTTCCCCTGACACTGTCTCTCTGACTTTACGTGTCCAAGGCTTCAGTGAGCGCTGGGACATGTTCAAAAACATTCAGGACTCCTGTCAAAACAACTCCTTAAAACCAAAGCACTTTCTTAAAAATTCAGGACTTGTTTTTGTTAATATCTGTGATGTAAATGGACAGTGTAATCTGTTGAAGTCCATTCCACGAGTGTTTTTTGCTAAAATGGTAAAGCTTCGGTCACCAAGAGAGTTACATGGTGCCAAACCTGAGCCTGTAAGTAAGAGACATTCCTCCTCATCGGAAGACCCAAATCAGCTGAGCAACATTGTCCAGGTGTGCCTTGTTGGGACACATGAAATGATATGTGAGGAAGACAGTTCTCTGACAAGTTTTCTTAATGAAAACAATGTGTTGACAGGTCATGTTATGGTGCCCAACCCACTGAGACTTGTGCATCAGCTAGAAGTTACCAGCAAAGTTGAACTACAGGGCATTCGAGCCCACAGGGTCAAATTACGGTATCTCTACATTCTTCCATTAAGAGTTACGGTTAGTAATTTTTTCTATTTATCACTATATGTATTTGTATTTTATCAAACCAAAAACTTACTTTAAACATAAGTAGTTAGAGGACAACTTTATTAGGATATGTGGGATACCAGAATTTTACTGGGTCACAAGTCGTTAGGTAAGAGAAATGTCTAAAAATAGCTGTAAAATCACCTGTAAGTTGAATAATAAGTATGTCACATAGACATACTGCTTTCAAATTTGTTTGCCTCTTCTTTTAAATTTCAACTTGCTCTATTATGAACTATAAATAATATTTGCACTTTACACATTCAGATTTTATAAGGAAGGTCAATATTTTCACAATAAAATTGGTATTCATCAATCAAAGTTGGTATAATTTTCATATTTTTACTCCTGTTTATATCAGAAATATATTGGGAGTTTCACCTTATAATTTCTACCCTTATGAAAAATATTGATAATTACCTTTTTGGAGATGTTAGGCTTCATGTAAACTAAGTGCAACATATATTTTTTAAATTTTTAAACAATATTAGTCATAGAAATTTATTTGATTAGAACATTGCATTCTCTAACTTTGAACAGTTTTTCATTATTTTCACTCTTTTACTTTAAAATTACTTGCAGCAGCTTTTATTGTTTCACCAAGATCTTATGAATTTTGTCTTTCATTCCTATTTATGTCTCTTTTAATGATGGACTACAAGTTTTCTATTAGAATAATACCTGCAAAGGCTGGTGATCTTTTCATTAATTTGGTTTTGCACACCTTTTTTTGGCAAGGTGGGCAAAAGTCAGCTTCCCAGAATGTAAAGAAGTGGTGTTTTATATACTGTTTAGCTTAAAACTTAATTGTGACCTGTACCAATGAAAAAGTAATCCAAAAATTTTTACAATAATTTTCTACATTTTTATTAATACCATCATCAATCTTGAAGAGATCTATAATTTTATTGCCAACAAGACTAATCCAAAACATTACTTCATCTCTCCACCCCCACCTGTTGTTTAAGTTGTGTTGGTAGACTATTTTGATGAAGGATTTAACCTCATCAGGTCCATCCAATGTAATTTTACATTCATCACTAAAAATTACTGTTGAGAAATCAATTTTCATATATTTCTTCAGCCAACTTCCATGTTTCTCTTTTTGATGTTTGCTTAAAAATGCTAGTTTTGTTGTTTTCATGTCTTTAGCCAATGTTCTTGATATCCTGCATATTTTCACTTTATTTACAAATGCAACACCAGTTTTTCAAATATTTTCTTGTTGATCAGTCTACTTTTTTTGCTTATTCCCCTTTTATTTTTTCTCAAATTTCTTGTGACATTCTTAAAACTTTATTTTTCTTGTTCTTTACTTGCCAGTGTTTTCATTTTCTTTTTTTGATTCTTCTTTGATTTCTGTTCAACTTTTATCCATTTTCCATTGTTGTATTCCCATCTCTCAATAATTTTACAATATCTAATTACTCTTCTGAAGTTATTTATAAACCAAAACAATCTTTACGTATCTGAAATTAAAAAATAAATATCAATAACTATACTATTTTATATATTTACATTATAATGAACAATTTGAAAAATAATATTTGACACCACCAAAGTTATTGTAATTATTTCTGAAATAGATATTATGTGCTGAAATTCACTTAGCATATTTATCATATGTATCCTGAAAATTTTACTAACATCAGTTGATTAATACCTATTTTATTGTAAAAACATTGACTTGCATAATAAAACCTGACATAGTGTAACACCATCAATAGTATTTTCTTTATTTTTCTTCATTATAGCTAACTGGGGATAAATGGGAACCGATTTCAATAATAAAACAAAAAAAAAAACAAATAGAAATTCTTTCTTGTATTTTGTGTCAAAAGCTCATGCTACAGGTAGCAATGACAAAACAGAGACAAGTTGCACTATACCCTCCCCAGTCATCCAAGACATCCAATACCACTGCTGATCAATGAAGTGATTGCTTCGATCCCAGTTCTGTTATTGTGATTTGGTTTGATAATGAGGTGGCCAAGATCAAATCTTCATATGGTATCTTCATATTGGGCTGGTCCAAGCAGGGTGAAGACACACAGTAAGAAAATAACACTTTTATAAATTAAAAAAAATTAAATACTAATTTTATATCAAGTCCTTCGTACAGTAACTGGTTAAATTGAGTTAGCATACAAACAATTATCAACCCAACCCACTTCTAACTTGGACATTATACGTTTGTTGAGTTGGTAAAGTTTGTTTTGCTGATTTGGTAAAGTTTGGCACAAGGCTGATGTCAGAGGTTCTCGTCGGCAGATAATCACATGGGGTGTATCACAACCGGTGACTGGAACAAACTCTCTCTTGCTGGGCGATTTCGCTTCAGGAATTCATATTTATTGACTTTCTCCTAAACCAGCATGGGGCACAGTGCAGTTGGAGAATTTGGTATTTCCTCCTCCTGTTATCTTCATTGTTTAAGGTCCTGAGAACTAAATTACTTCATAATTTTGGGGAAATCCCTTCTTCTATGGGTGATGGTTACAGGCATTACTCTGCCTCATAACTTCCACTTCCTTATTATCATCTCCCACGAATCCTCCTCAGTGGCATGGGTCACTCCACCTTCCTAGGTGACTCATCTGTGCCTGCTACCTCAGCCACACTTCAACCAGGAACAATTAACTCTAAGTTCATTGTTTATGAAAATAAAGTTTCCAATTCATAGCTCGTATTTTTAGTTGTGTGTGATAAGTGTCAATCATTGTTGCCCTTTTGGCCTATCGGAATTCAAATCCATATCCGCCTTATGTTTCTCATTGTTCAAAACCCCACCATACAATTCAGTTGCTGTCTATATGAGAATTAAAATCTTCAATTTTTTTCTACGGGTTTTATTCATTAGCCCTTCTTATTTATCAAGGGTCTGTCAGTACATTGTTCTTCATATTTTTGTCAGGGGATTTGTCAGTATATGGTTCCTTCTATTTAAAGAAAACTTTCTTATGATTACCAGTAACAAAATAGTGTCACAAATGCAACAACCTGTGAAATTTCAGATTAGGCTAGATGAAAGTATACTTAGATTAACAGTAGTAACCATATTAAAGATGACTAACATAGACTTGATATTTATAATATTTAGACAAAAGTTATGGAAATTCAAACTAATTTTTGTTTTTACAAGAAAATATCAAATTTAAACAGGATGGCAATTTTTTTATACTTAGAGCATCATAAAATGAAGAAAAAAAATTCAGAAAAATATCTTTGTGATTTCTTAAGAATAAAGAGAAGTGCATGTAATTGGTACATATATCATTTTTTTCACTGAATATATGAATATCTGTGAAGAGCGAGTTTTTTTATTACTAAAAGGTATTTAATTTTAATAATCCTATATATAAAAAATTGTTTCTTTAACAGTAGTAATCTTATGTTTTACTTTCTTTTTTAGTGACTTATTTTAGATTATGTAATAAAGAATTGGGTTCTTTCTTTTTTTTTTTTTTAGTTATTTGGCCTTCAAGAAAGTTTACAAAGATTGGATGAAAAAACTGTACGGAAAGCTTTTGAACAATGGATTATGAAAGCCACATGTATTACACGGCCTATGATTGTTTTTGACAGAAAACTTATTAAATTTAGAATAAAGAAAAAAACAGGTAAATTTTTTTTTTCACTCCTAAGAAAGTCAATACAGCCACTAAGATGCAATGAGTTACTGAAAGTGAAAGAATAAATGAAAAACCATTATTAAGGCAAGAGAACAATAAAAGAGCAGGAATTAAGAAGATAGAAGATAATGATTTAATCAAAGCTGACTGAAAAGCAGGAAACTGGAAGAGAATGCCACAGGTGAAAAGTGTGAGAGAAGAAACTGTTAGCATAGAATTTATGGTTACATGTAGCCATTTCCAATGTAAAATGATGAGACCTTGCCACCTATCTAATACTGAACTTAAATTCATATAATCTGGAACCAACAAGGAAATCTCATCAGAACAGTTACCATGAAAATATTTATAGAAAAGGCACAGGTTAGGATTGATAACATTGTGGGTTCTTCTTTGGATTTTGTCAGGAATATGCCTTTTAATAATGGACTGACATGAATTTTGTACATTCTGATGAAAGGATTCTACATCAGATAATCAATGTTTTTAAAGTGAAAAACTAGTGAAACTAATGAAAACAACATAAATTTTCTTTTAAAATTCTGACTATATATTATTTTAAATTTCTTCACAGTATTTTCTATACAAATTTTATAACTCTGTTTTTAAACATAACAATTTTATTTTTCATGTACTTACTTTTTCCTGCAAAAAATAGTCTCTTTGAAATTATGCTTGGGATAATTTAGATATTGAACACTTGAATCTTAAAATTTTTGAAACCAATTCTGACATCTGAGAAATACACATTTGTACTATTTTTATATGAGTGAATGGTGAAAGATTCTCAGTCTGACCAACTTTCCAAAATCTCAGAAATTGATCAAACAGCTTTATGTGTTTCTTGGTTGAGGTGAGAACTTTTTAGCATCCTATAAAAAATATCATTTTTCTCAGATACTTTTTGTTATTGTTGTTATATGAAATCATTTTTCTGTGGTTTAATATTTACAATCTCTTTAGATTTTGCTGTTTAATCTTACTTTAATTATTTTAAAAATAGGAAATATTTTGATATGAACAGCTACACCTAAAAATGATCAAAGAAAAGCAGTCTTTTCTCAGATATTCTAGTTCACAAGTGTATTGATAGAAATAAAAGTATGTAGTCTAATATTGTTTCAATGTGAAATTTTGATTCCTATAAGATTTGCTTCCTTTATTTAGACCTGTTCTTCCTTGTGATTCTAACATTGCATACTTTAATTCTCTTTCAGATTATTGGGTGGAAGCTCTCTTGTCTTTCAACCAAAGTAATCATAGTCCAAAAACTGAGGAAGAGTTTATTTATGTTGAACTCCATCCTGATGCCCTGAAATCTATACATTTGGTTATCCAGCTTGAACCTGAAGCTACTGCTTCACAAATACAAAAGATTCATCCAAATCTCTTGCTTCATACTGAAATTGATCCCCGTGTGGACACGGTCAAGTTAAATACTATCAGGCAAGAAAATTTATTTTGCTCACATCGTTGGCCACTTAATATTAGTTTATATTAATTTTAACAGCTTGGAAACTTATTTTGCTCATGTGTTGTGAGAATGAACGTATAAGAAATTTTTAATAACGAAGGGGAGGGAACTCATATTTTTTTACCCATGAAGATGCATTGTTCCCGTAATACATTTCTCTGTATTACTTTGCTAATTTACAAGATATGACAAAACTTATTTTATTTTGCTATATACTATATCTCAAATGGTAAGGATGCATTATACTAAATAATCAATGCGTCAGAGCTATATTAATCATGAAAATTAATCCATTTGAAATCCATTCTCAAAATCGGTAACAATATTAAATAAAGCTGATATAGTGGTTTCAACAAAAACTATATTTTGCTGAATATAGATTAAATTTTTAGTTTAATTTTATTTGCATTTTTAAGGAAATTTTCAAAAGTATGCAAATTTGACTCCTGACCACAATTGTTTTCTTGACTTGGATTAGGCTGTCAAGACCATGACTTTAAAGTGCTTAGAAATCACGATTGTATAATAAGCTTATTAATTACTGAATGGCTACCTACATAGCCAAAGACATCATGCTCAAACTAAAACTGGTTGTCTTTAGGTCAAATTTTGCATTGCTAAATGATATTGAAGATTTAGTTCAGAAGATACAAACAGTAAAATTTTAGAAAAATGAAAATCCAAGTAAATGTACAAAAAATTCACTATAAGTAAAGGATAATATAATCATGATACAATTCATAATATTGAATAATGCAAAGGTTTCTTGGGTTTATTAAATAAAAATGAAAGACAGTTTCTAGTTTAGACATTAATTTTATTGAACAACATATTTATTATTTTGTTCAATGTTCTGCCATCTTTCAGCTAACTTAAAAATTTAATTCTCTCTGAATATAAGTCACTTCCATAGAAGAATGCAAAAGACCTTGAGTAATTCATTGCTGAGAAAGGTAACAAATTTAGGGAGAATGGAATTAATATAAAAAAAGATAACAGAACATAAAATATCCTGGCACTTTCAAACCTGAAACTCCACAGATAAAAGTATGCTAGCTGCTAAGTCACCATACATTAATTGTCTATTTAATGCAATCTTAGATTGACCACTTTTTTATGTCTCATAATCCTGTGAATTATTAAGTGGAAAATAGACATTGAAAATAAAAACTATGCTAATAACAAAGAAGTCTTGTGAATAGGAGATTCCTGTCTAATAGACAACTTAAAAGAAATATCAATGGATACTACAGTGTGATTTGAATTGTCAAAAGGACAGAGTTGTAATGCTCTACAACAGCTAGGAGAGGAGGTAAGGAAAAAGTCAAGTAAAGAAGCATGTTGATCAGATTTATTAGGGAAACAAGTAATGAAATCCACTATTTGACTGAGAGACTGAACAACAGAAAAATTGAAAGTCTGAATACTGGCAATATCACTAACATTAGAATGATTAAGCCATATGACATGCTGAGCATTAACATCACCAAACACATGAAGCAGATGAATGTAGAGAGAGAGAGAGAGAGTATACTGCTAGATATTCTGTCTAATATGCTACAATCCAGAAAATAAGTGGAGCTAAAAAAAATTTCTTTGTCACATACAATGACACATATATAAAATGATTGCTACATATATAGTTGCTCTGTATTATACGTTGAGCTCTCATATGGACTGAAAAGAATAATCTATCCCTACCAATTACATTTTGGTATTATATATTATAATATTATATGAAAAGATTACTTAACTTTTAAATGTCAGTTTTATCCCAACTTCAAAGTCTCTTGGTAAAATTTCCAGTCTTCAGGGAGTTCTGGTTTTAAACGATATTTCCATATTTTTTTTTTTTTTTTTTTTTTTTTCAATTTTTTCCATTTGTTCTGCTTTTTTACTGTTTTGTACCTGTGCGTATTCATGAATTTAATGTTCTTTTACACTTGTACGTTCATGAAATTTTGCTTTTATTTACATCTTTCATTTTTTCAGCTGTTGATTTTTCTTCCAGTTGTAAATTTTTTCTTTGAAATTAAATTAAATTTTTTTTATTTGGTTTATGCAGAAGTTATGTTATATTATTAATTAAATTGTAATATTTGTTAATTTGTATTATTAATTAAATTTAATATTTTATGTTGTATTATTAATTAATATTTTTAATTAATATTTTAATTGATTTATTATTTTATATTATTATTAAAGTAACAAAGTAAATATTTTTTAATATCAGCATTAACCCATTATTTCATTATTATTCTTTAATAATTTAATTTTATTATTTTAATATTAATTAATTAAAAATATTATGAATACAGTGGATGTGGGGAAACTTCCCAGCCTAGCTGTAACAATTTTTTCTTGATATCAAAAGAAACATTTGGGCTAGCATTTTAGTTTGATGGGATATTACACCCTTTCTCATAATTATTGTTTTTTTCTTTTGTCAATTGCTACCTGAGTAGTACTAGAACCAATTTTTTCAAGAATTATCATGCTTATATTTTCCCTTTTTATTGCAGGGGTTTACAAGAGCAATCAACAAAAGCAATGCAGTATTTTCGAATGGTTCTCAGTACCACAGGCTGCACATCCATATCACAGTCTCGTCCCTCTCTTGGAATGTTGCTGATTACTGGTGCCACAGGAACTGGCAAAACCATTTTTGCCTCTTCCATTTGTAAAGAACTCTTGGAACCGCCTATACTGGCCTATCCAATAATTGTTGCATGTAAATCTTTAGTGGGTAAGTATCTGAGATTAATTACCCATGTTAAAAAAACTAACAGGTCACTTCTTGTTGAGTTTGTTTTATATAGTTCATCACATTTTTTTCTTAATTAATACTGGCTAAAATATTTTTATTATTGAGATATTTTATAATTCTTTTACTTTATTATTATATTCATGCTTCCTTGCAAACTGAATATTTATAGATTTGAAAATATTATAAATTTGATTCTATGATAATGCACAGAAAATCTGTCAAAAATGAGAATTCAAAGTTGACTCATTTTTATTTCTTGAATATGTAATTAAATTCTCTGGTTAAAAAAATTATAACATTAAAAAATAACGTATTTAACATTTATTTTGTACCTGTACATTTTTTCTATTCTTAGTTTTATTAATATTTAAAATTTTTATTGTTATAATTTTTTGACACCTCGACATGTGGTTAACTGTTTACTTTTAATAATACCAAAATGAACTTTTTATTTAAATTAATACTTTAAATTTTTTTATATTAAATGATGGATGTTTTGTTTTATGTAGGTAAAAAATTATCAAGTGTTCATGCAATTTTAGAACAGCAATTTGAAGAAGCAATGTGGAGACAGCCATCAGTCATTGTACTTGATGACCTTGATTGTTTGTGCAGCAAAGACAGTGACATGGATATTGATCCTCTTGAAAATGTGCGGCTCACTTCAGGTAAAAATGAGAAAACAATTTTTCTTTTATAAATAAATTTTATGTGTGCAAAACTATATGCTCTTTAATAATTATATTTATTCATTTTTAAAGTTTAATGAGAAATTATTTGTTAATAAATTAAGCTTAAATAATTTCTTTGATTATTAGATTTGATATAATCGTGTTGTTCTAAACCCAAAATTTAGGAAACAGTTTCATTTTTTTTTTTTTATTAAAAAACGAAAAAGAAATTAGTTTTTCTAAAAGAAAAAATGCAAAAACATTTTGAAGAATTCTTTATGCCAACTTTTATTTTTATGTTGCAATCATAAAATGAATTTAATTTATTAAATGTATTAAGATTTGGAAGGAACAGCAATAATTCCAAAATAAAATGTTCATTATACATCTTTAACTTATTAGTCTTCAGCTGTTATTTATTAATAGTTATTAAACAACAAGTATTTTTAAAAAAAGTAATTTTAGATGTGCATAAAAAAATAATTGCATATAATCCCGTCTTAAAAAGTTGGTCAAAAGTGTTTTACTTTACTCATTATTTTATTCATATATTGTTTTATTTACCTATTCAGTCATCTGTGACTTTCTGAAAAAAATAAATGCGCTCCATCCTCGAGTTGCTGTCATGGCTACCAGTGAATCAACAACAACACTCCACCAGAAACTCATGACATCACGTGGCATGCATTATATTCAAATGGTCCTTAATATATCCCATCCAGATCAAGTAAGTTATTGTAATAAGTTGGTATATGGTATAGTAATCTTCTGAAAATAACTTGGAAATTGAATATTAATTTACTTCATTACTAATTATTTTTGTAGAAGTCAGCCAGTAATAAGCATCACTGACTTGATGGAAATGATTTATTCAAACTTAATTCCACAAAGCTAATTAAAACCGTGAATACTGTAGAAACTGTCATACTTAAAAATTTATAAAGCATGTCTCAAGTGAAAATGTTGCCCCCTTGTACTACCAAGCAAGGAAGTTGCTGGTACAGTTGGTCCTGTAAGAAATAGGAAAACTAAGAAAATTAGTGGAACAAAGTTTTCTTGAACATGTTCCACCTGGTGGCAGTAAATAGGCATCACCTATTGTAGTTTGAGAAAGGCAGATGGATACCTTCAAATATATGGTGATTACAAACTATAAAGTTTGCTCAGATTTATACCCAATTCTAGATGTTGAAGTATCATTACATTTGTTAGTATAAATGAAAGTCAATAGAAAGATAGACATAAAAACAGCTTATCACTAGATACCCATACATGACCACTTACTAAAATCAACAAACTAATAGGTGGACATGAATGTCATATTGAATAAAAACAGCTTGTGCTATTTTCCAAATGAACCCTAGAATAAGTCATTAGAAATGATAAAAAAGATATTGTGTGCTGTCAAGATGATACATCTTGACAGCATACAATATCTTTTTTATAAAAAAAGCTAAAAAGAAGAAAATTGAAATTGTGTTGAGTGGATTAAAAAAATTTTGGAAAGAAAATGAATAAAAAAAAAAAGAACATAAATGAAAATCATTTCATATCATTTCTGGGTTATTCCATTTCAAAAAATGTCACCAGATCAAGTGCTAATAGAAAAAATGCTGAAAGTATTGGTACCAAAAAATAAGAACTGGAGTACTTTTTGGGATTAGTAATTTTTTATAGATGATACTTACCAAGCTATACAGAATTGTATCTGTCTATATTTCTATACAGAATTGACTGAGCTGTTTGGCTTACTAAAAAAAAAGTATGTGGAATTCATGTGGAAGGGGGACGAACAAAAAGTTAAAATATTTGATCCAACTAAAGATATAACATTAGCTACAGATGATAGTAAGCATTCAATATTGGGAATACTATCACAAGAAACATATCCAATAATATATCTATCAAGAAGGTTGACAATTGCTGAATTGACTTATTCAAACATAGAAAAGGAAGTTTTGGCAATTTTATGGATGGCCCCTAGAGCCCATCAATTTTTAATTGGAAAATAATTTCTGTTAAGATGTGATCATCTGTCTGTTAGAATTTATATTCAGTCTAAGGAAAGTCATAACATCAAGGATTTTAAGATGGGCAATAAGACTGATTTCCTTTGATTTTTATAAATCAGAACTTTCTTAATGATGTCATTTTATAAACAAGAGAATGTACAAAAAGAATATGGACTCAAGGCCAGAAAAGACAAATTTTCTAATGTAAAAAAAGCCATAATACAAAAACAAAGGAGCAGATCAAATAAGATCCCAAGATGTAGATGTAGAAATGAAAGAAAAAATGTCAAAGAACATCAATCATAATGAAAATAATTGGGATATAAATGGAAGCTGATGAAAATGAGGGTGACAAAAATCTCTATCTTCAAAACAGTTCTGAAAGTTCTGATGAAGATCAATTGAAAGAAGATGGCCATGAATATAGAACGTGAGACAAATCAGAAATAGAAATACAATAAGATCTACAGAAGTAGAACAAAGAAATCAAAATGGAACAGAATATAGAAGAAGCAAAAGATCAACCATGGGCATAAAGTCAGTTTCAGGGAGATGTAATGATATGTAAATGTAAGAGCGTACTCATTTGCATATGGACGAGAGACAGTATCATTAATCAAAGATAGTGACTGTAGTGATACTAGCAAATTAGTATGCATAATTTGCATAAGCATAAGTGAACACTCATATAAGTGGTCACTGGGAATAACAAGGTAGAAGTACGAGCTTAGCGGCTGATTAGTGCTAACTTCAACTTCACAACAATGGCATCGCCGATAGGATATCAATTGTCTCTGGAAGATCCAGAATTTGTGGATACATGGATTCGTTGTTTCTCTGCCACTGCGAGAACAAAAATGTTGAAAGACAACAAGTAAAAGGGAGGCGAAAATGAAATCACGGATTTATTTTTGGCTACAGCTGAATGCGAGACGGTAATGAAAGTCTCCACCATGGCATATCCCTTAAATTTGGAAGACCTGATTTTTCCAAAAAACAAGTCAGATTATAAGAAGAAATATGAGACCCAAGAAAAGGCTGGTAGTGGCAGAAAGAACAAAATTCATGTCAATGAAACAAGAAATTGACGAACCAATTATAAAATATTTACACCGTCTACGAAATGCAAGTAGATATTGTGAATTTGAAAAACTTGGACAAGACGAACAGACCATTGAAGAGGACTTGATTCAATTAAGACTAATCGAAGGTATGTCCAATGCGTCACACCGATATAAAATAATGGAACAATTACAAATAGGAAATATGTCTTTAAATACATGTATTGACTTTATGCAGCAACAAGAACTAATACAGACATACAACTATTATAAAAGTCAGTGAACCCAGTGAACAAATATTTGTTGGAAACACTAAAAATGAAAAAGGAAAATACATTTGAAAACATGTTAAAAAAGATAAAAGTGTCCATATTGTGGACGTGAACACGAAATGAAAAAAGGAAAAGTGTCCAAAAGCATTTGGGGAAAAAAACTTAAAAATAAAAAATGTTGAAAGAATTGAAGCTTAATATAAAAAAGTTAATTAATGAAATAAACGATGAAGCAAGGGATTTTTTTACAAAAAAAAAAACTTTAAAAAAAGAATTGAACATAAGAAAAAAGACATTATGGTAAAGATTCAAAATTAATAACTGCAATTTAGATATGCAAATGGATACTGGGAGTGAAGTAACACTGATACCAAAAAAATTTTTGGGAACACATTGGTAAGCCACCTATATTTTGGGCCATTGAACAAAAAGCAATTTACATAGGAGCTAGTTTGAAATGGAATGGGTCCATTATAAAAATATTAGGTATAATTTGAGGTTGATTAGAGTTAAAAGAAAAATTTGAAGTAATACCTATAGTTGTTTGCAAATTTAAAAAAAAACACGGGCTTATTGGAAATGACATGCTTAATATAAATTCTACTAAGTTAATTAATGAAATCACAAGAAAAATGGAAAAAACTGGAAAGTTAAAAAGCTATCTATGAAGCAAGTTTAGAAAAAAAAAGAAAATGTTCTCCTCTTATTATGAGGCAAAGGAAAATTACCAGTACATTTATTGTTTTTAGTAGTGACAGAAAAAATGATATGTAAATTAGTAGAACAAGACCCTTCTTGAACATCTTCTACCTGGAGGTAGATATAAGTGGACATCAGGATAAAATTGTAGTGTTGAGTAAAAACAGATGGTGATTTACACAAATTTGTGAAGATTACAAAATAGTAGAGTAAATCACAAGAAAATATCCTCATATTCATATAGAAAATGGTGTACCAAACCTTGGTATCTGATAATGCACCAGAATACCCAATGTTGAACTTAAGACATTTTATCTCAATCAACAAACGGGAAAGAATGGGATAAAAAGGCGTTGGTTAGATCCAGTGACAGACCCAAAGAAGGATTGAGTTCAATTCCTGGTTAAGATGCAGATCCGGAAGGAGCAGTGCAAAAGGAGAACTTAAATAGAGAAAGAGGGAAAATTAGCAGGAGATAACTGATAACTGACATCCATCAAACATGGCAAACTGGAATTAGAACAGTCTACCCCAGTGATGAAGAAATAAAGTTCAGTATGCAAGAAAACAGTTACAGCCTAGCCCGGGACAGATTGAGGTTCCAACCACCTGAAGAAGGAACCGGAGCAGGAGAAGGAGTACAAGATCTACGAGAGGAATAAAACGTTCAGGGAGATGTAGGATACTTAGCAAATTTATGCAAACGTTTTGACAAATATGGCGACAAAGATGAGGACAATAGTCCCTAAATGTTTAATGTAAATACTGTACATAATACCTCATCTCAGAAATATAGACAAACTCTGAAAAACATCACATTTAAATTTCTTTTATTTAGTGTACATTTTGATCCTTTGATTAGGAAATTTAAGTAAAATTTTACTTAGTAACTATAAAATAAAAGATTTTACACCTCATCTTATACTTGCCATTTAAATTTCTTTTAAAATGATACAATGAAATAAAATTTACTTAGTAACTAAAAATAAAAATTTTCAAAAGGCACAATGAAATAATTTATGGTAAAAATAAAATTGTCAAAAGGCAATTAGTTATTACTGAAAAATAATTTAAAAAGTTAATTTCTGTACAACTGAAATGGTCTTAATATTCAAAGATATTGATTTTATAAAAATATATTTTTGAATTTCAGAAAACAAGAGAAGAAATTCTTCAAGGGTTACTTGAGACCAATTTAGCTGTCAATCCTAATTCCATAAAGGAAGTTGATTTAAAGAAAATTGCTTGCAAGGCTGAAGGATTTGTAGTACAAGATCTGAAGAAACTTGTTAATCGTGCCATCCATGCTCACCTTCAGTTTAAACAGTCAGGTAAATATTATGAATTTAGGAACAATTCTTTATCTGTTGTCTGTATTGTGCTATGTATTAGCAATATTAGTTAGGTTTTGATTGTGTGTGTACAACTTTGGTACTGGAAAATTGTTGAGCTGATTTTTAAATATATAACTATTCCCTTTTCATTCAATTATTTGGAGGTGAAATATGGTGTCATTTTTTAATGGAGAAAAAAATCAAATTTGGTTTAAATATGACAAAACTAAAGCAGCAGCTTCATGTTACTGCCTCTGAGTAAATTTTCTCGTACTAAAACTGCAAATTTACTTTTATTCATTTAGTAAGACCTTATTTTGTAAATTAATATTTTCCAGTACAATACAAAATCTTAAAAGGATTTAATATTTTTGTCTAAAATTTTCATAGTTGTTAATTTTTTTGTTTATTTGTAATTCATGATGCTAATACTTGTTTATATTTTTTAATCTTTATTATTATTATTTTCAGATATAATTGATAGACTAAAAAGAATAAAATGAGCTCCCTTTATAAAATTCATATCCTTGTGTCATAAAAATGCTGGTCATTTTAAAAATTTTTTTTTTTTTACCTTGGTCTTTTTTAAGGAAAATATTTGTATTGTTGTATTATTTTACTTGGTTATTTTGTATTATTTTTTGTTATCGCTCTGCATTATAATTTTAACTTGTATATATACACTAGTAGTAGAGCCCGGCGTTGCCCGGGGATATAACAGTAAGAGATAGATCAAGTATCCACCATCATAAAGACTTAAGAATAAAATTGACAAAGATTCAAAGATTATTGTTTAAGGTTGACGGACACGCATGTCTTAATTAGTTTTTTTTTTTTTTTTTTTTTTTTACGAATTGGTCAAACCCAAACAAAAAGATTGTTTTCAATCGTTATGAGTCTCCCGATTGAATAGAATAATTTTATAAACAATTGTCTTGTAAATGGAATTTTTAAAGCATTCTGAATGTAAAAATAAAGAAAAAAGTGTGCAAGACAATAAGAAACACTACATGCGAAAAAAAAAAGTGAAGTTTTGTTGAAATCGGTTGAAAAATGTAGGTAGCCTTTCTGTAATCTTTTAGTTTTACAATTTATGATTTTTACTTATTGAATACAGTAATAAAAATTGCATATTTTGCTTGTGGTGATTCATAATTAGAATTCTGATTTGAATATATTTTCCACTCGTTGTTTCTAATACAAAAAATATTAACTTTATTTGGGTTTATTAACTAACAAATTTATTTGGGTTTATTATCTAACAAATTTTATTCATTTAGTAGCCTTTCTGTAATAATAATCTTTTACAATTTATGATTTTTACTTATTGAATACAGTAAAAAAATTGGACACCATGTGTATTTAAAGTAGTTTCCCGTTCCGGTTATTATTTTTAGTTAGGACTTGTGTATGTTTAGATTTCATTATCTTTCCCTATTTATCCGATGTTTGTATTCGTACAATCAGTAGAGATCGTTAGATTATTGTTTAAGGTTGACGGACACACATGTCTTAATTAGTTTTTTTTTTTTTTTTTACGAATTGGTCAAACTCAAACAAAAACATTGTTTTCAATTGTTATGAGTCTCCTGATTGAATAGAATTTTATTATAAATAATTTCTTGTAAATGGAATTTTTAAAGCATTCTGAATGTTAAAAATAAAGAAAAAAATGTGCAAGAGAATAAGAAACACTACCTGCCAAAAAAAAAAAAAAAAAAAAATGAAGTTTTGTTTTATCGGCTGAAAAATATAGGAAATCCTCTCCCATATTTAAAGGAACCCACACACACAAACAACCCAATGTGAGTTGTCCCCCTTCCATTTTCACAATGTCTCTTAATCGTGTTTTCAAATTGATTTTGTGCAAAAACAATTATATTTTTCCCATTTTTGGCGCTGTTAGAACCACCACAAGGTAATTTTATGTAGTCATGTGAAGTTTTGTTGAAATCAGTTGAAAAATGTAGAAAATCCGATCCAATGTATAAACGTTACAGACACACACACACACACACAATCTGCGTTTTATAATAAGTAAGATTATGAAATTGACACTTTAGGAAAATAACTTATTTAGCAGATAATAGATTTAAACTATTTCAGCTTACTGTTTTCTTCTAAATAAATAACCAGACAGCTTTGACGGTAATCTAAACAACAAAGGAAGTCATTTAGTTCTTGTGTATATATTTTATAAATTTTACTAGTCAGTAATGACGCTATAAAAGGAAAGGAGCTTGTCATGAATTCATTTTTTCTTTTATACTTGTATAATATAAATCTGTTAAATTGATCATTTATACTTTCTTTCCAGATTTGTCTGAAACTGGTTGCAAACTACAACTAGACATGTCTGAACTAATGCTCCAGCAAAGAGACTTTGATGCTGCCTTTGTAGGGTTTTCTCCTCTTTCACTTAGAGGCATTGAGCTTCACAATTCTGAAACTCAAGGCTGGTCAGATGTCGGTGGTTTGGAGGAAGTGAAAAGTTTATTAATGGAGACTTTTGTTTGGCCAGCGAAGGTAAGACAATTCTGTCAACCTATTAAACTCTTGTTCTTACCTAACAAAAAATCCTATTGCATCAAGTGTAAAGTAAAATGTAACAACTGCTTTTAGTCATGTTTGAACCATTTGCTAAAGATATTTATGCTGTAATTGTTTTAGGGGGAAAATAAGATAATTTTTGCCTGATCCTTTATTCTATTAGATTAATTTTTAGTAATATACAAAGGTTTACTTGAAAACTTGTCAGCCTAATCCATTTCCCAAAATCAGCATTTCAATGATCAAATATAAAAATCCTAATTTTAGAATGTAGAACTTTTTTTTTTTTTTTTTAGAATTAGAACTTTTTCAGCACCTCTCTACCAAATCAAGATCTTCTAAAGGGACCATAGAGTTATTAAATTTTACATTTCTCTTTTAAGCCATATTGTAAATATACATATAAATACTGAATATAAATTTACAATAAAGAAAATCGATCCAATGAGATCACTTATTTTCAAGTATCATATAATCTGAAATTATATAACTGAAATTCATTCTATGATATTTATACATTCCCCATCCCCTCCCTCGTTAGGTGGTCAATGATGTCAGTTCTCTGGTTGTTGCGGGATGACTTTCGTTTCGTGTGTGTGTTTTCGTAGTTGTTATGGTGTCTAAATGAGTGCGTGTTTGTGGGCGTGTTTGTTTTTTATAATGTTATAATCCCGCAATTATTTTGTCCAGTTAACTGATGTTTCTTCCACATTTAGGGATTGTTGGGGGTTTTATTACTAACCCTATTTTGTTTTGTTTTATGTAAATAGTATTAAATCATATTGTAAATAATCATTGGGGTTTTTAAATTGTTGTTATTTCCCCTCCCCACACAGACTTTGAAATGTACATATGGGGACTAGTTAGGGTTTCATAGAGAATTTGAGGTATTATGGTGGACGCAGTAAGAAAGGTAGAAATGTGCTGTTTTGGTGATAGGACTATTGTTGGTATGTTTGGGTCCATGTCTGTGTCTAGCTAAGTTTAGAATTAAGACAGAAGAAGACCGACCTTCCCCAACCCCCTTTTAGGCCTTGTGCCACATTTTGTACTTTTGTACAAATAAATAACGATATTTATACATTCAATAAATTAGGGTTGTTATTATATTTCTACTTGCAGTATCCAGAATTGTTTAATAAATGTCCCATTCGGATAAGAACAGGAATATTGTTATTTGGTGCCCCAGGAACTGGCAAAACTTTGTTGGTTGCAGCTTTAGTCAAAGAGTGCCACATGAACTTCATAACTGTTAAAGTGAGTTTTTTTTTTTCATTTTTCTTTTTATATACATGCAGCTTATAAGCAAAAATAACAAAACCTTGAACTTACTTTGAAATATTCAGTACAAATTGTGAATGACAATGTTCAACTTAAATTATTTAAGCCTTAAGTTCTTTTTTAAATCTTATTTCTATATTTGCACAAAGTTTACTAGACTTGTTATTTGTAGCTATTTATTAATCTTAAATTAATATGGAACAAGTCTACAAGTATAGATCACTCAGTGAAGAAATTATTCACTACACTATAGTAAGGGTCTACTAGACTAGCTTACTAACCATTACTCTATTGCAAGATATTTAAATATTTATTCAGCTAAGTTTGGCATAAGCCCATGGGTAGAGCACATATCAAAAACTAAATGACAATGTGCCATTTAACAATAATTTATAAATTTCAAATATTATTTTTTAATCTGCTCTGTATGCATTATTAATTTCTTAAATTTGAACCTTTATTTACAAATTTCTATTTTGTAAATATATATATATTTGAGAGAGGGAGATGAATTCATCATTACTCTTCAGTATGTACTTTTTCATTCATATAAATGTCTTTCTTAGGGACCAGAGTTGCTTAATAAATACGTTGGAGCTAGTGAGCAAGCTGTACGGGATACATTTAATAGGTAAGATACATCCGTTGGCAAACATGATGCAAAATTATTTTGCTCTTAATGTTTTCATCTAATTTTTCTCAGCTATGAATCAATGTAAATTTCTGCAAAATGTTTATAACTTTGATTTGAACAACTGGTTAAAAAATGTGGAACACCACAAACATTTTTTTCAAATTCATATAAGCAATTTTGTCAGAAGACAAGGAATCTTGTCAACATATCCTATAATAATAACTAAGATAACCTGATTCAATTACATATTTTCTTTTTTAATAGTTAACATATATCAAGATATTTTTGTATGAAAAGAAAAAAATTATTTGTAGCAAAATCATTATTCTTTTTCTTTTCCTAAAAAAATAAAAAGTTTAATGAATAAAATGGTTATTTGTGATATATGGATTCATTTAAATGTCAATGTACCAAAATGCATGCAAAAATATTTTATGTTTGACATAAATAAACCTTTATTTAAGAATTATGCCATTATTATTTGTTCTTCCTTACAGAGCCAGGAAAGCAAAACCATGTATTATATTTTTTGATGAATTTGATTCCTTAGCACCAAGGTAAGAACCTCTAATAATCTGTTTGTTTTGTTTAAAAAAGTTTTTTTCTTAACCTATGGGGTATGGACCCCATAGATTAAGAATAATGAGCAACAAGATATTAGCTAAATATTATTTATCAGTCATTAAACTATTATTACTCCTGGTGAAGATTGTAATTGATCTGGTATCATGACTTGCATTTTATTTTATTTATTTATATCTAAACACATAATTGTATTTTTTTTTTTTTTTAACTTTCAGATAAAATTTATTTTTTCACAACTACAGTTAGTTTTACAAGGAATTAATGAATAACATGTTCTGCTTAATTAAATATTGAATCCATTAATGTTTTTAATTAATGTTGTTTTTATTATTTGTGCTCATCTTCACTTAGTGAATATAACTTTAGTGAATATTGTGTATTTACCATTTAGCAAAACATTTTTTTCCTGCAAATTGAAAGCAAATTTTATAGTGAGATTGTATACAAACTTATCTGTTCGGGTGCAGTTAGAAATCAAATAATATTATTTTTAATATATCCTTTATTTCTATAACAAAAGCATATATATGTGTGTGTGTTTGATAGATATGTATCCTCTATAAGTGTAATTGATTTCAGAATATTTATAATTTCAGAATATATGTTTATTAGATGAATGTATCAGATCATCCCATAAGTAATGTCCTTTTTTTGATAGCAATGAGTTGAATGATATTTTCACTATTCTAAAATGCCTAAATGATAAAAATGAATATCTGTATGCGTTTGCATATTTTTAAATGAATGTGTTACATTGTTATATGATTCAATTAACTTGACCTTTCTAAAGATAGACATGTCTACAAAGCATATAATATGTACAATAAAGCTACAGAATTTTTGAAATAATTGTAGTATGTATGATTTAGATTCTTTAAAGAAGATGTAGGAGATGGTTTGAAAAATTTAGAAAAAGTAATTTCAGCACAATGCTGACCTGTTTTTGTCTGAACTTGATAGAAATAGTAGTTTTACAGTTAAACAATTAGCTAAATTCAAGATATTCATTGTCATCTGCAATAACTTGCTTAAATCTTATATATTGTTCATACATATAATTATACATGATCTGGAATTTATTAAAAGAAAATTCTAACATTTGTTCAGATTTTGTGAAGTGTGTCAAACAGAGCTTTTTTTAGCCCTTCTTCACATACATATATAGTGTTCTGCGTTTGTTTAGTTGTGTGCCTTTTAGGCAGATTGTATATATATATATATATCTTTCTTTTTTTTATGCGTGGCCATGATAGTACTGGTGTCACTGATCGGGTTGTTAATCAGTTATTAACACAATTATTTCATTTAGAGTCTCTAGATGGTAGTATTTTTTTATCTCAAAACTAGATGTCTCTATTTTTGTTGTTTTAGAAAGAAAATGAAAATGGTCTTTTAAAAAGTCAATAAACATACTAAATGTCTGGATACTTTGGTTTTCTCAAAGTCTATTTGAAAATTGAAACTGTGAAAATATTCTTTTTTTTTCTGAGGGAAAATATCCAACTTGTCAGAAACTTAAATTGTACCTTTTGTTTGAAAATAATTTTTGAATAACAAAATGACTGTTTATTCAATGTTTTTTATTGCAGGTGTTTATGTGCTTGGGGCAACAAGTCGTCCAGATTTAATAGATCCTGCATTGCTGAGGCCAGGACGCCTTGACAAGTGTTTGTACTGTGATATACCTAACAAAGTAAGTAATGATCACAGATAATTCTTTGATAAATCTTATTGCTGGAAATTAAATTTTGAAATCTCTTATGAAAAAGTAAACAGTGCATTTCCTTACATTATTTTTTTATTTTTACAGGAGGAACGTCTTGCTATTCTGAAAGTTCTCACAGCCAAAATGCATTTAGATGATGACGTTTCCTTGGAGTGTTTTGCAGAAATGTGCAATTACTTTACAGGAGCTGACTTAAAAGCTTTATTGTACAATGCCCAGCTTGTAGCAATTCATGAGAAAATTGGTGATACAAACAAAATGGAAAATAATTACAGTGATCAGTATTTCAAGGTGCGTCAATCCAGTAGGGACATAACCGACAAATCAGGCAAAATGAATGTCACTTATATTCCTAATCTGGAGACTGGATGTACTCCTATTTCATCAACACTGGAAGAAAAAGTAGAAAAAGAGGTAAGCTCAGGTTTTACTGTTTTGACTGTGTTGATTTAATAGAAGAAAATTTTTTCATCTGACCACAAAATAATATTGTGGCTGAAACAAGAAAGATGTTGGAGGTATTCTAATTCTTATTATTAAACAATATCACTTGATATCATCAAATTCTGAAAGAAAGAATTGACATCTTATTTCAGGCAATAAGATTGGGCCATGTTTTTTAAATAACAAAAGGAAATGAAGAAATATCCTGAATACTATGAGTGAATGCTTGTACCAAAGTAGATTTTCTAGATGACCAGTGACAAGAACTGTGTTTATTCCAAAACTAACCACACTGTATGAATTCTCATCTTAATTGATTGGATTCTAACCAGTTCTTTATCTGAATTAATGACTACTTTATTATTATTTTTCAACAATTGCACCAATTACTTTTTATATCTTTTGAGGAAGATTATTATTTATGAAGACAAGCGAAGCAGGGAAAAGAAGTGATAAACCTAAGAATTTTGAGCAAATAGAGAACAGAACAAGTACCACAAAGACATTACAAAAGATAAGAAGCTGCAGAGAGCCATTATTGCCTACATTTTGAGAGAAAGAATCTAAGATATATGCAAGTGTGAATCAATGTCCATGACCTGACACATTTATTAGCTAAAATTACATATGAAATTTTCACTGTATAATGTTTGTTCAGTGTGGTTAATGGAAAGCATTGTGTTAAATGTATTGACAAAGAAGATTGTCAAAATATAGGTACATTTTTCATCAGAGACAACATATTTATTGATTTGTCTATTTATAAGATTATGCAATCTGTGTACTTATTGTATGCAAGAATGTTATATATATATATATATATATAAACAAACATTTTTGGAGTCATATTCAATCTGTCATTCTTTTTCTTTTCAATCACACATGAATGGCAATAGAATGAGTTTTATCAATATCTGATAAAAGGAAAGAAAGTAAAGAAGGAAAAAAACTGCATGACTGGTATAGAAGCTTATGTAAAACCCTATAAATCTCAGTTGAATTATAATTTTATTATTTTTATACCATGGAGTTTAAGTTGTTGTCAACCCGGTAGACTCCCCTATGAAGTATAGAGCCACAGCTTTACCATGCTAGGTGGTGTTGCTGTGGTTTTTATAGGGGGGAGTTGCTCATTCCACACCCAGTCATTTTTGAATTCCAAGTTGTCTTTCTCCTAGACTGATTACCAACCAAAGTTAGAGATAAATGCCTGCCTTTGCTATTAACCTTTGACTGGCAGGAGAAGAGATGGATTCATACCATTCTGAGGGTATTTGTGTGAAATTGAAACTTGACATACCATATAACTTTAGTGAATATTTGTATTTACCATTTAGCAAAACATTTTTTTTCCTGCAAATTGAAAGCAAATTTTATAGTGAGATTGTATACAAACTTATCTGTTGGGTGCAGTTAGAAATCAAATAATATTATTTTTAATATATCCTTTATTTCTATAACAAAAGCATATATATGTGTGTGTGTTTGATAGATATGTATCCTCTATAAGTGTAATTGATTTTCAAGAATATTTATAATTTCAGAATATATGTTTATTAGATGAATGTATCAGATCATCCCATAAGTAATGTCCTTTTTTTGATAGCAATGAGTTGAATGATATTTTCACTATTCTAAAATGCCTAAATGATAAAAATGAATATCTGTATGCGTTTGCATATTTTTAAATGAATGTGTTACATTGTTATATGATTCAATTAACTTGACCTTTCTAAAGATAGACATGTCTACAAAGCATATAATATGTACAATAAAGCTACAGAAGCCACCTGAAATAATTGTAGTATGTATGATTTAGATTCTTTAAAGAAGATGTAGGAGATGGTTTGAAAAATTTAGAAAAAGTAATTTCAGCACAATGCTGACCTGTTTTTGTCTGAACTTGATAGAAATAGTAGTTTTACAGTTAAACAATTAGCTAAATTCAAGATATTCACTGTCATCTGCAACAACTTGCTTAAATCTTATATACACTCATACACATACTTATACATGATCTGGAATTTATTAAAAGAAAATTCTAACATTTGTTCAGATTTTGTGAAGTGTGTCAAACAGAGCTTTTTAGCCCTTCTTCACATACATATATAGTGTTCTGCGTTTGTTTAGTTGTGTGCCTTTTAGGCAGATTGTATATATATATATATATCTTTCTTTTTAGGCGTGGCCATGATAGTACTGGTGTCACTGATCGGGTTGTTAATCAGTTATTAACACAATTAGATGGAGTAGAGTCTCTAGATGGTAAGTAATTTTATCTCAAAACTAGATGTCTCTATTTTTGCTGTTTTAGAAAGAAAAATGAAAATGGTCTTTTAAAAAGTCAATAAACATACTAAATGTCTGGATACTTTGGTTTTCTCAAAGTCTATTTGAAAATTGAAACTGTGAAAATATTCTTTTTTTCTGAGGGAAAATATCCAACTTGTCAAACTTAAATTGTACCTTTTGTTTGAAAATAATTTTTGAATAACAAAATGACTGTTTATTCAATTTTTTTATTTGGTGTTTATGTGCTTAGGGCAACAAGTCGTCCAGATTTAATAGATCCCATTGCTGAGGCCAGGACGCTTGACAAGTGTTTGTACTGTGATATACCTAACAAAGTAAGTAATGATCACAGATAATTCTTTGATAAATCTTATTGCTGGAAATTAAATTTTGAAATCTCTTATGAAAAAGTAAACAGTGCATTTCCTTACATTATTTTTTATTTTTACAGGAGGAACGTCTTGCTATTCTGAAAGTTCTCACAGCCAAAATGCATTTAGATGATGACGTTTTCCTTGGAGTGTTTTGCAGAAATATTGCAATTACTTTACAGGAGCTGACTTAAAGCTTTTGACCTACAATACCCAGCTTGTAGCAATTCATGAGAAAATTGGTGATACAAACAAAATGGAAAATAATTACAGTGATCAGTATTTCCCAAAATCAATCCAGTAGGGACATAACCGACAAATCAGGCAAAATGAATGTCACTTATATTTCCTAATCTGGAGACTGGATGTACTCCTATTTCATCAACACTGGAAGAAAAAAGTAGAAAAAGAGGTAAGCTCAGGTTTTACTGTTTTTGACTGTGTTGATTTAATAGAAAAATTTTTCATCTGACCACAAAAATAATATTGTGGCTGAAACAAGAAAGATGTTGGAGGTATTCTAATTCTTATTATTAAACAATATCCTTGATATCATCAAATTCTGAAAGAAAGAATTGACATCTTATTTCAGGCAATAAGATTGGGCCATGTTTTTTAAATAACAAAAGGAAATGAAGAAATATCCTGAATACTATGAGTGAATGCTTGTACTAAAAGTAGATTTTTCTAGATGACCAGTGACAAGAACTGTGTTTATTCCAAAACTAACCACACTGTATGAATTCTCATCTTAATTGATTAGATTCTAACCAGTTCTTTATCTGAATTAATGACTACTTTATTATTATTTTTCAACAATTGCACCAATTACTTTTATATCTTTTTTGAGGAAGATTATTATTTATGAAGACAAAAATGAAGCAGGAAAAGAAGTGATAAACCTAAGAATTTTGAGCAAATAGAGAACAGAACAAGTAGTACCAAAAGACATTACAAAAAGATAAGAAGCTGCAGAGAGCCATTATTGCCTACATTTTGAGAGAAAGAATCTAAGATATATGCAAGTGTGAATCAATGTCCATGACCTGACACATTTATTAGCTAAAATTACATATGAAATTTTCACTGTATAATGTTTGTTCAGTGTGGTTAATGGAAAGCATTGTGTTAAATGTATTGACAAAGAAGATTGTCAAAATATATAGGTACATTTTCATCAGAGACAACATATTTATTGATTTGTCTATTTATAAGATTATGCAATCTGTGTTACTTATTGTATGCAAGAATGTTATATATATATATATATATATAAACAAACATTTTGAGTCATATTCAATCTGTCATTCTTTTCTTTTTCAATCACATGAATGGCAATAGAATGAGTTTTATCAATATCTGATAAAAGGAAAGAAAGTAAAGAAGGAAAAAACTGCTGCATGACTGGTATAGAAGCTTATGTAAAACCCTATAAATCTCAGTTGAATTATAATTTTATTATTTTTATACCATGGAGTTTAAGTTGTTGTCAACCCGGTGAACTCCCCTATGAGTATAGAGCCACAGCTTTACCATGCTAGGTGGTGTTGCTGTGGTTTTTATAGGGGAGTTACTCATTCACACCCAGTCATTTTTGAATTCAAGTTTGTCTTTCTCTAGACTGATTACCAACCAAAGTTAGAGATAAATGCCTGCCTTGCTATTAACCTTTGACTGGCAGGAGAAGAGATGGATTCATACCATTCTGAGGGTATTTGTGTGAAATTGAAACTTGACATACCAATCCTACTTTCAGTGCCAATAACTACTACACTACATGTATGTCTATTAAGTTTAAGTTATTTTGTAGTTTTTACATGTTTTTTTTTTTTAAATTTGTAATAACATCTAAATTATAATTTCTTTCTTTATTCTTTAAGGTTACCCGGAAGGAAAAACGGACAAAGAATCGACGTGAATCACTAATGCCCCCAGCTGAAACTGTTGAAGTAATCACTGTGAATCATTCACATATATTAAAAGCTTGTTCAAAAATGAAACCCTCTGTTTCTGCTTCTGAACAAAACAAATATGATGTCATGTAAGTTCAGAAAATTATTTGAATGCTTTTCAGTTAACAATTTAAATTAAATATTTCTTAAAATAGAAATTTAACTTTGAACAAAATTTGTCAAAAACAAATCTCAGCAATATATACTAATCAATAGTCATACATGAAAAAGTAGAATTTTTTTTCTTTATTCTAACAGTTATTTGAATATATTTTTTGCTGTTTTTTATCACTATTTTATCCAGTGTTTTCTCTTTACAGAAGTGTATAATTCATTTAATGGGGTGTGGGGAGGGGGGGTATTTCTTACACACAAACATAATAAAAAAGTAAATGCATACTATCATTTTCAAATAGCCTATATGCAATAATTTTAAAATTTGGTGGATTTGCCATTGAAAGTTTTTACTCTTATCAATGCTCTATTGTCAGATGAACATGGAGAGTTTCTTGTTTGTCACGAGAAATTATCTCTAGACCAAAAGCAAATATATTTGCATAAAATCTTTACCTATTGGAGGGGGGAACCTGGACAGAAAATTTCACAAATAAAACTTTTGGCTATCAGCAAATTTGTTTTTCAAAGAATATATTCAGAGCTATCAAAATAATTTTCCTAATAAATCATCTTGATGACATCTAAGTAATTCTCAATGTAAGTAAGCAAAAAGAGTGATTGAAGGAGAGACTTTGAGTGATATCAGGGGCAGATTGTACTGGAGAAAATCCCAAGAATCTTTTATGTGCATGTGTGTGTGAAATAATTGATTAGTACCCTACTGGGAAACATATTGACTGCAACATTTCATCATTTAATAAATCAAAACACAACATGCGTCAATTTTATTTCAATCTCCACCAGCAGGTAAAACACCTTGACTTACTAACCATTACCAGTTGGTAGCAGGTGTGAAAGATTTACACTATAAGTATGTCCTGAAAATTTTTACCAATGTTAACTGGTTGATACTAGTTTTATTGTCCAAATATTAACTTGTATAATAAAATTTTACATTGTGTATTGCAAATATTTTAAAGATATGTTTGTTTTTGCATTTATTTTTATTTAATTTTAATATCTATCGAGATTTATGGAAGCTTTATGATCAGTTTACATTATTTACATTATTTGGACTGTTATCCTCATCATTATTGCCATATTCACAACATATTGGCCAGTTTATGTAACAGCCTTCTTCAGGTGATTGGATTTTCAAACTGAACCTTTTATTTCATCCACTGGGGTAGATTGTTCTAGTTTCACATGCCATGCCTCTTATGGATGTCTCAGTTATTTTCCTTTAATTCACCTCTCCAAGTTTATTTGGCTCACCACTGTTGTAGCTGGTTATTGAACTCACAACTCTTTGGGTCTAATCACTGACATTGGTTAGATAGTAAAACGTTATGAATATGGCAATGTAGATGAGGATAACAGTCTGAATGATGTAAATAATCATAACTCATCTCAAAGATATAGGCAGATACTTTGATTGGGAAACTGTTATAGAAGACAAATCAATGAAGAATATTTGGTCTGCATCTTCATTAAGATAAGAACTTTGCTGTTATTCAATATATTTTTAAAAGCTATATTTATGCAGCCAAATGTTTCGGACCTAATTTATATTGTACTGTACATCTTTGCTATTGCAGTAATGCAGGAATCTTTCCTCACAGAATATTTGTGTTAAGATTAGTTCATGCTTTTCATAACTTTTAGAACATTTTATAAAATGATAATTTTGCATTACATTGAGAAATATATTTTGCTCTATTTGTAAGAACTACATTGGAAATTTTGTTGCAAAATCCTTAAAAACAATCTTTTTTTTTTTTTTTTTTTTTTTCAGATATAAAGATTTTAAAAAAAGCAGAGAAGCAAATTTTAATCCACAGACACCAACCCTAAAGCAGGAATATCTCCTTGCCTGATTTCCATTTGATTGGTGGTTGGTCTGAATGTGCAGTCAAGTTCTTCATAACTGCTAGGACCACCTCATTGACAGTAAATAATTGGACTAAGAGACAAGTAGTTTCTTCATGACTGCCTACAGCTGCTGATTTAATCTGTCTACTTGTCTACATGTATATCTGTCAGGCAATCAAATATTTGTCATATTTTATGTTTATCCCACATGTCTTTCTATTTATATGCTGTATAGAGCATGAACTGCAACAAAAATGTTGATCCTCTATCAAGTAGAAATCACAATTTTCCTTCACTATTAAAATTAATGATTATTCCCATCACTTTTTTTTATAGCTTCAGTTACAATTTTTGTCAGAATTTATTTTAATAAGAGTGTCATTCATGGCCAGGTGTAAAGTTTCTCAGATTTAAAGTGAATTTGATGAATCCTACAAGTTTAAAATAATTTACCTAGATTTGGGCTGGCTGTACTGATTTCTGGGGAGAAGTTGGTTATGGAAATCACAGAACTGTGAATAGGTTAGAAGCAACAAAAGAGTACAAAGATTTTTAAAAAATGAAATATTTTGCTACTAACAGAAAAGAGCAGAAAGGTTGCTGTTTTGGAACAAAAAAGAAAATGAGAACTATTTTGTTATTGGAAATTTACAGCTGTTGTAAAAATTTGTGTAGTCCAGTATCAGTGAATTGTACTTAAATTTTTCCTGTTTAGGTTTGGAAAAGTTAATATATTACTTTGATATTTGAAAGAAAGCTTCAGTTATATTTCCCTAAACCTTATTACTGCCTGAACTGTAATTCTAATTCGACCATTGATTTACTACCTCCACACTACTGACTGGAAATTTGAACATTTTGTCTTTGTTTCATAACTGGTTTTTATCTTTTGATGGGACATAGACAAAAAATCTCCAAAATCAGCTATTAAAAATACAAAAATTATCAAATTTTAAGACCTTTTTAAGCTTCCTTTTATTTAATATTTCCTGTTTGCATTGCAATATTGTGTCTTTAACACATTGTAGTACTTGCCAATGCCCAAAAGCTTAAAATGATAAATAACTGGCATATTTGATATGCTGATATATATATATATATATATATATATATATATATATATATATATATATATATATAATTATCTCATCAATACAAATAAAATCTATTTAATATGTATAATCATGACAAGATTGATACAGAAAAGAGCATGACATAACCTATTATGTATGTTTTGGGGGAGGAAAAAAACACTTTTCCAATTGGATCCAGTTTTTTTTCACTGTTCACTTGTTTAACATTGTAACAACATTTTATTATTTCAATCAGCATTTGACAAAACTGATCTCATTCAGCTTTTCTGATAATTTCTTTCATTATTCAGAGATATTCAAAAATAATTTAGAAAAATATATTCAAGAGAAGTTCTTTTACAAAACTGGAATTAAAGAAACAACCTTAAATAAAATAGTGTGGATTAAATAATTTATGCTAATTGTTTAAAATGAGCCTGCACTAGAGACAGGCATCCAGTCAAGGTACTGATGCTAGTACTAGGCCATTTTGAAATTTGTCATCAGGCACTAGACATTTGTGTGTAGAAATGGATTGATCAGTGTTAGCCCACTTGGTCACTTTGAATATAAAAGACCCACATTGAAAATAAATTATCTTAAACATGTATTTAAGTCTCATTTTCAAAGTGTCTCCTAAACAAAGATTAATTACTTTTGATGCAAAAGTCTACCCAAATGTATCATTGATTAAGAGAAGTTAAATAAGGAATTTAGCTACAAATCCTGTTATAATCCTGTTTTTAATCACTTAAAATTTACAGCAATTTTCTTCATAGAATAAAACATAAAATAAAAATACATACTGCATTTATCTAATGTGTAATTTCCTTTTTCCATCAATCATTTATGACAACATTTTGTTCAGGTGTCATTGTTCATCAATCTTTTGCCCAAGTAAATCTGACATTACAAATAAACAATAATAAAAGAAATCAGTTGAAATCTTACAAAGTTTTCAGTAGTTATTTTTATAAGTTTTCATTACAAAGATGATGATCTTTAAATATGCATTTTATGACAGATTGCCTTATCTTGAAACATAACAATTGTTAGTATTAAAATAAATTCAACCACAAATGAATTTTGGGCTTTTCTCCTCTCTGGAAGTAATTAAAAAAAATTTTTGTAATTTTTAAAAATTAATAATGGATTGATATTTTGTGCTATAAAATTAAAAAGCTACTAAAAATTATAAAATAACTGCTTACAAAATAAACCATACATAAATTTCTTAAATGTTCTAAATCACTTAATATAAGTGAACAATAAAAGACTAATTTACAGTATGTACACCCTGTAACAAAATCTTTTATAATAATACAGATTCTTTATGGTAAAATTCTTTTATTCAATTAGTATATTACTTAAAAACATATTTGGACCCAGAAGTTGTATGTATGAATTATTACATTAAATATCACCTACGTTTATTTGCATTTTTAGAGGGAATTCTTTATTATTGAAGAAATTATTAAAATCGCACAAAGTTATATGAAATATAGAAATCTAGATCTTTCAGTTGGCCAAGTGAGAAATATTCATATCATCTATCAAAGTTTCTAATATCACTTAGCAAAGCTCAAACTTGTATGCACTTTAGTTATTCATAATTCTAATCAAATAGTAAAGATTGATGAAAAATGTTGAGAAATGTATTCATCAGAAGTTCTTTATTAATTTTGTATTTTTTCTTAAACAACCTCTGTATTTTAGGCAACAATCTATAATATAACATTATTAATCTCAAATTTAATTTCACAGTCTACTATTCAGAAAATTTTGTTACTTATATCTTGTCAACAATCTGAAAAAATATTCTAAATGAGAATTAAATGAAAGCTTGCTTTTTATAATAACTTTTTGAATATATTGTTGAAACACTTGCCCAATATAAGTAGTTAGAAGTTAATTGATATTGATGCAGTCAATATGGCTTAATTGCTGAAAACACAGGATATGCTGTTTATTACTTAAATCTGTTGTATCAACATTTTGTAGATTTACAATATGCTCTATAAAACTGTCAAGTATTACTTGCATGATGGATAACTAGTTGATAAATCTTCATTCTGTATAAAACAAGTAAATATTTCAAGAAGAAAATTGCATATCCAACATTGTTTGGGCACTTAAAAATCTTTTTTGCATACTTGCTGCACAATACCAACTTTGCTAAGCAAAAAAAGCTTATGTTGACATCTGTGCTAGTGCAACTCCTGCAACTGGTTGATAGGTTGCTATATGCTGTCTCATTTCTAGTGATGCTATCTTTCAAGTACCTTTTAGTTTTAGATTTAGTTATGACTGTTTTGTGTGCGTCTCTTTTGAGTCTGACTTTAAGTGACAGCAGGTTTCACTCCTTACATACATTTCCACATTTGTATGATGTTATAAATGCATTTTTTATTCGTTATTTTATTTTTGTTTGTCAGACTTTTCTCTTCTAAAGAATTAACTCTAGTAAGGACAATTTGAAGGGCAAATTTACTATTAAATACCACCTTAGTCTTGCAACTCCTTTAAATTTGTTCTGCTATCCCTATTACATAAGTAATGCTACAGAGTCATATTGGATGTTTTTATCCTGTTTCTCAGCCTAGATAAAAAACAGAATTAATAGTAGTTCTGTTAATGTCTCTTAATTCTTCATCTACCTTTGACCACTGATGTCTTGCACTTGAGTTGAAAAGTTGTGAATGGTGGAAAATATATACAAAGAAAAATATGAGCATCCAAATAATATTGTATATGATTCTTCTCAAAGTTAGCAACATGAACAAATGTCAGTTATTTGGAATATAAATTAATAGTATAATTTATGATTTTATTACAGAATAAAAACTATAACTACCAACAGTAGTTAATATGCAAAAGCTAAATCACATGATACTATATATATATATATATATATATATATATTATTATTATTTTTATTTTTTGTAAGATTTAAAGAAACTACTGAAAATGATTTTAAAATAAGAATTTTACAAATACTAGCAGTTTATTAAAATATATGGAGAGAGTAAAAGTAAAAAGAAAAAATTAATAAATACTACCTTGTATATTAATTCTTATTGTTTTATATTTGGCTATCACTTTTTTCTATCATAGTTACATTTTTGTACAATTTGATGGTATGAGAAATTGTTTGATAAAAATAACAAGTCAATTGATATACCTTTACTTACAGGACAAAGGATGGAATTGAGTAATAGTCAATACCAACACATGCAAAAATCAATAAAGTAGTATTGGAAAGTTCCTGAACTAGGATCTATTTGCAGACTCCATAACTGATTCTAATCATATGAGAGATTTGATGGATTATTTGGCAGCAGACCTCATATATGAGATAATTATTTTTCCCCACATTTTCTGACTTTGCTTGAAACACTCATTCCATTCAAAAACCTGTGTTTAACTTCAAGATTGTTTGCCAAAAGCTCAGCAGCATTTTGATGGTTTAAGCAGCATATTTGACAAGCTTCATGCAAAATCTAATGCAGGCATCTTGCTCAAATTTGTCAGCCATTATAAAAACTGCAGAGTAGTATCACCACAGTGTTACAAAATTTTGCATAATATTTGAATGCTAGTTGATAAAACAAAGCCTCTTATCAGGTAGGCTGTATGTCAGTGACTTAGCTACAAATGTATTTCCATTGAACAATAGAATTATAGCATGGGGACTTTCTGACACCACCTCATGTTCAAATTATAAATACTTTGCTTTGTGGCGACAGTCATAGTTATTTTTTTTTTTAATATGCACAAATGGTATAGCTATATAAATGTCATTATGTGTGAAAGTCACATTAAAAATCTTTTTGTTAAAAATGTCTTGTACTGGTCATGGGATAGTATTCTACTGACTAAATAGTATATTTTATTTACAAAGGATAATAGTTCTTTAATTAGATTCACTAGAT